AAATAGTTTTATTTATTGTTATATATATGTTTTTTTATTTTTGTTGTGTGTGTGTGTGTGTGTGTGTGTATATATCATTTAGTAGAAATCTTATGCTTACTTTATTTTGATCAGAGACTTTGCACAGAGCTGAGATTAATATACGCATTACGCCGGCGTGACCATAACGTGCCGAAGTGTGAAGTGGCGTATCGCCATACTGAAACAAATAGATTGAATATTTTTTGAGAAATGAATAAAATTTGCTGAAAAAGTAGTTTTGAAATAAACACAATATTTAATATGTTTTTCTTACTTTTTAATTGTTTCTGCAGTAATCAGTTTTAAAGATTTAGCTTCATATTATTAATATTATTTCCTTATTTTATCCTCATCTGATCCTCGATTGATAAATATGATAGTCATTAAAAAAAATTAAAGATTACTCACGTTATTCTGAAGATCGGGATTGCTGCCGGCTAGAAGGAGTTCTCGACAGGTTTGATTATGACCGTTTTGACAAGCCAGGTGAAGCGGTGCAAATCCAGCAAAATTCCTGGCATGTAGTGAGGTCCGTTGAGTCCCAAGGGCTTTCGCCAGAATTGCCACAGTCCGACTGTAGCCACGCCATGATGCTTCGTGCAATGCCGAATTTCCATGCTAAAAATATGAAAACATATTTATTGTGAATTGCTTAGTGTTAAGATCAAACCCCAAAGTGTCTCAGGAGAATTATAGCTCAATCTCAGATGGAATTTGTATAACTGCTCGAGAAAAAATAATAATATATAATCGAATATAATTAATATAATCCTTTATAATGTATGCCAGCGTATGGCACATTTTAAAAATTTGAGAATAAAGAATCATACTTCATCAGGTAACAGCTTAACATTTTCGTTGAGCAAGCGCACAACTCGATCAACATCGCCATGTGCAGCTGCTTCACGCAACTTTTCTGCCATTCCAATCGCACATCTGTAAGAAGAATAATATACATTATTTTGAAAATAATATACAGTATTTTATGATTACACATTTTAAAATAATTATGATTTTAATAAACGTAACGTACCTAATTTAATTACGCTTTTTGTATCTCATTTTATAATTAGGAAATCTTCATTATCGTTTGACTTTGAGATATTAGATTAATTTAATAAAGTCGAAATATTTTTAAAGTTTAAAAACGAAAGAATAATATACAAGTCTAATTCATAAATTCAATGTAGATAAAAAACTTGCAATCAATAATAGAAACAAAATATATTTAGACTGTCGAGTAGAAATATATCAATTTTAAAATATAAAAGTTTAAACGGTTTTCTCAATATTATGTTGTATATTATGTTTTTTGTAGAACAATTAAAATACAATACTAAGAATACTAAGAATTTTCAATACAATATAAATATTTTATAGAGATATTAAAATGTTACTGTTTATCATAATAAATAATTATAATAACTAGCTATTCATTAAAATCAGAATTATAATTAAGAAATATTTTATGCTAATGATGGAGAGAGAAAGAGAGA